GATTGCATTCAATTCATGTGGTTGAATTGTCACATCAATATTTTTCCCACCACAAAAATAATGATTTAGAATAAGTAAAAAAAAAAAAAAAAAAACCCTCTACAAAAGAAGGAAAAATGTAATTTCAGATCTTTGCTGTCACAGTTACTGTGATTTCCACAATTCCGCACTACAGAGAACAGCTGGAAGTTTCACAGGAAGCCACTGCTCAGATTGCAATGCTTAATTTAGCACCAAAATCAGACAAAAGAGCAGCTTTTGTCATCTAAGGTTTTTCTCTACACGTGAAAATGTGCCTTCTCTACAGCCAAGTGCTCCCACTGCATATTCAGCTGATTTTATTAGCAGTAAGATTCTGGAATTAGTGGTGCACATATAGATCTCACTGCAATATTTCTGAATTTAACTGCTGAAAACACTCAGAATTTACATTAAGAAAAGCTGCCGTATGTTATCAAACATAATGAAGACCAGAGAAAAATAACGCCACAAGTTTATTTCTGTACAAATAAACCAGATTTTGTATAAACTGTACAATCATTTAAACATGCTCAGACTAAAGAAAAAGTTGTCATAACATTGAATGACTATAAAAGAAATCTGAAAACCAGCAACGTAAATTCACTGTGCATATGTACAATTTATAAATTATATTAACTATGTCATTATTCCTACAACAGATTTTTTCTTCATTTAGAAGTAAGAGGTATAGCTTTTATGGATCACAGACTGGACTGATACCGTTAGGAACGTCTCTTTTGCTTCTCGTGATGCAGTCACAGTGGAGCTCCACACCAAAAAGAAGCAGATTGTTGGCAGGCCATTTCAAGAAGTCACTTTTGCTTCAGACTAATGACTCACTCCAGCTCAGTGAAGCGAGCAAACATGGCTTTGCGGACTGCATCTTTGTAGGTGTCTGAAGGAGAGAGGGTGTAGTTGGTTCCTTTAGTGCCGAGTCCAGCTCCCTTTGTTCTTAACTGAGCCTGAGGAGGAAATCCACAGAGTTGAGTACTTTCTAGAGCTGTATATAGTTACTGAAGCTGATAAACTTTTACACCACAACTGTTACAAATACCTCAATTGGTGCTGTGATGCCCTGCTGGTTGCGGCCAAGACCTTTCCCCTCCTTCCAGCCCATTGCCTGCAACATCTTGTTCCCAATATTGTCACTGTTGAGGCCATCTTTAGTGGGCTGTTCATAGTTACTGTACATAAAAGAGCAGAATATCAAATAAAGCCAAGTTTAATGATAAAATAGACTGAAATCACTAGAGGAACGACATTTCA